TGGTCGTCACTCCCCCAAAACCCAAGATGCATCAACTCACAAAGTTTGATTATTCTAAGCCAAAAAATACCAAGATACTGAAATATAGCCATAAAATGTCAAACTTAGGTCACGGTGACCTACATTTTGGTGCCATTTTTAAGTAAGATGCATCAGGTGATAATTTTGATGATCATTGGTCTGATTGATTGATTGATTGTTAAACGTCCCTCTTGAGAAATTTTCACTCATATGGAGACGTCACTGTATGCCGGTGAATGGCTTCAAATTAAGACGTATATTCGGCACGTAGGGCCATTGAGCAGTGAGGGTTCTTTATCGTGCCAGAGCCTACCGTGACACGGGACCTACGTTTTTAAGGCCATATTATAGTGCCGAGCGCTTGGCGAAGGAACAGACAGCACCTTTGTTTACGTCTTAGGTATGACGCGGCGCGCAAATAGAGAATCGAACCCGGGCCTCCCGATCACGAAGCGGAACGCTCTACCACTAGGCTAGGCACCGTGACCGGTGTCATTGGTCTGAAGGTAATCAAAATATGCCTTTTAAACAATTTGAAAACAAATGCCTGCAAAATTGAAAAAGTAGGTCACAGTGACCTACTTTTACTTAAATATGTTTTAAGGTCCGAAGATACAGCAACTTACAAGATTAGATGATTGTTACCCTCTCAGTGTCTGAAATAATGGGATGAAATGTTTTAAAAAGGATAAGTTATCAAGTTCAAAAAGTAGGTCACGGTGACCTTCTTTTAAGTTGATGTTGTTCAAGGACCCAAGATGCGTCAACTGACAAAGTTTGATGATCATAGGCCTTAAAGTGTCCTAAATCTGCCTTCAAATCAATTTGAAAACAATTGCCCACAAAATTAAAAAAGTAGGTCACCGTGACCTACTTTTGAGTTAACATGATGTGAAGTCTTAAGATGCATCTACTTACAAGATTTGATGATCCTAGTCCTTATAGTGAGCAAAATGTAGACATTTTCATTAATTGTAAATTTCGGTCATTTTTGAAGTGACCTTGAGACCACGCCCTTTGCCCAGGGTCATGCCTTGAACAATTTGTAAGTTTGGTGAAAATCTGCCTGGTGGTTCTGGAGAAGAAGATTTATTTGGAAACCAGTACTTTTGGTTTTGTTTTCCCTGATTATCTCCCCTTGTTTTAAAGTCCAAACCCTTATTTTAGTATAAATGGTAGCCCTTGGGTAAAGGATACCCTGTGACATATTTGACACTGATTGGCCGAGGGCTTCTTGAGTTATGGCCCATCTTCTGAAAAGTTAACGCACACCGCATGACGCACACCGCACAAATGGCCATAGCATTAGCTCTTTGAGCCTTTGGCTCAGAAGAGCTAAAAATGCCATTAATTTTTTCTCTAAATTCATAATTATACCCCTTGGAAAAGGGCGTGGCCCTTCATTTGAACAAACTTGAATTCCCTTTACCCAAGGATACTTTGTAGCAAGTTTGGTTGAAATTGGCCCAGTGGTTCTTGAGAAGAAGATGAAAATGTGAAAAGTTTACGACGACGACAACAACGACAACAACGATGACAGACAACGGACAAATTTTGATCAGAAAAGCTCACTTGAGCCTTCGGCTCAGGTGAGCTAAAAAAACAAAAACAAAAAGCAAAAAAAAAAAACCCCACACCAAGCCAAAATTTCAAATTCATGTAACATATTATATTAATCTATCAATTTTATAATTTTCTTGACAATTTATAGGACCACTTTGATAAAAGGATTTTAAGGCCTTGATACCAAGAGCCTGACCTTTCCATTTTATGCTTGGAATGATTTGGGAAATTTAACATAAACAGAAGTACACAAAGGGACTCAATATTAAGGTATGTTATTAGAATACCCTTTACAGTTGTCAAGGATTATCCTTATTTTATTTAGCAGTTAACTTGAACATTTTGGAAAAAAACTGTAATCTTTGGATCTGAGAATTTCATGCGAAGAATATGGCTTTAATTAATTTGATCTCCTTTGGACCTTTCAAATTCCTGTCATTCAGAGCAAAATTTTCAGTACTTCGCAAACTGCACTGACTAGCTCCTAGCACTTTTGGGGCAGAGGAAATAATCATCTTTTATTGTGTATAAAAAATTTTCTTGATAAACAAGCGTATGCCCTTGCACTATCCTCATTTCCTACATTCAGCTAACAATTCTATTTTGATACAAATCACGTGACAAACAGCTGATACGTGCGATATAACTAATAACTACAGTCCAGTCCTATCCAATATTGATAGCTATATTACATTTTATACATGTATTCAGTTGTTTTGTTACAATTTTTAAATAAGTAATACATATTAAAGCGGTGCAAATGTCACATTTTCCATATCGGTCCTTAACATAGCTGAGGAGTCGACAAACATCTTACTATCACACAAGGTCACTTGGTCTCTAACTAGTAGCACAAAAAAATATTTGTAAAATGAAGAAACAAATTATACCTTTTCTGTTTTTTTCTCACTATGTGTACCAATGAGCAGAACAGGGGCATTATCATTGCTGTACTGGTGAATTGATTTCATCCAGAATTCAAGATAATCTGTGAATGAAATGAAGACAAACAATTTGCTTATCACCATTCCTGACTTAAATTAAACTATGTAGGGCACTGTTTAAATGATTTCAGTAATATATATCAAAGTTTACTTTAAGTCAAACATTCAGAAAATTTGTGAAGAAAAGGAAGACTTCAATCAACAAAACTGCAAAATAATTATCTCTGACATTGGAACCAAGGAGAGGCTATGGAGGGGGGGCTTACCCCCCCCCCCCCCCCCCCCGACCCCTTTTTCCCAAACATACACTTTTATGACAAAGATAAACAATATAAAGGCATTTAAAAGTGGGGTTTATCTTCTTTGTTGGTTGAACCCCCCCCCCCCCCTCCACACACAATTAAATAGCCCCTTCAACACCGGTATGCTTCCGATGCCAATGTTTGAATTAAGCTTAAGAGTATTTGAAGTTTTATTTAAACAAAATTTTTAATGGTAACTGTTTGAAAAAAAACAATGGTTCCAAACATATAGACAAACATACATGGAGATAGATACATTTTCCTCACACAAGCCCATCCAATTATCTTTAACCATTATACATATAAATTCACCCAATAAAGAGGCGACTACATATTACACTGCAGTTTCATAAAAAATATGAATTTCAAAGAGTACTTTACTATCTTGATTTAAATCTGTATATGAAATAAGTAGAGTTTTTAAAAATCACATACTGCATTGCATATGCTATAGAAACTATGCAATCAAACCCAACATTAGGTAATGGTAACAAACCTCTGTGTGTCCATCTTTCATAAATGGAGCCTTCCTGACAGCAGACCTCTTCCCCGACTTGATCATCAAACTTCTTCTCCATATTCAGCACTAGAATGAAGAACGCCCGCGGACTCAGAAAAATCTGGTGTGAGGCATAATATGAACACTGTCCTGCAAAGTCAGTCATTGTAATTTTCTTATCCGGGTATTCTGGAATGTTTTTTGCATCAATCTGCAAATTTCCTGAAATTCCTGGATTATTTGGGCCAAGAATATCTTTGTTTTCCTTTGTAGCTTCTGCTAAATTTGAAGTTGATATGGCACCTTGTGGTGGAGAGAATGAGGTAGTTTTAATGTTGGTATCATCTCGTGATATCTGTCCACTGTTCGATGCATGAATCACATGACCCTCATCATCATCAGTTTCCATCTTTTCCTGCATTTTCCCATCATCAGCTGCATTTTCTGAATGAGATTCAGGTACACTCTGGTGCAGATCTTTTTTATCAAATTTAAGTTTAAAGCGTTGCTGACTTGAAGAATTTGCTGTAAATAAAAATGAATACATTTTAAAGGCCTTCTCACTTTGTTGTCCCTGCAAATAGACCTCTAGTCTACATTAAATAAATATGCAACTAAAAATATAATGTAGATCTTATGTATTATGAGCACTGAACTCAAATAATGATATTCACAGATATCATATGAGTATGATCCATGTTTATTCAAGAAATAAGATATCATTTTTAGAGTTTCATTGGCTTATGATATGAAGTCGGTCATGTGATCAAATTTTCGGGCATTATACATGTAGTAGATTTGATCACGTACCGACTTCATGTCATAACCCAATGAAACTCTAAACAAGAGGCCTTCAAGGCCGTATAAGTCACCTGAGTATCAATAACAACTTTCCAACAATTTTATTTGGTTCTTATTTTAAACCAGAGGCCATGAAATTCACAATTTTGAAAGAGGCAACATTGCTTATCATAATTATACACATAACATGCATACTCTAATTACTTAATATCCAGAGGTAGATCAGTAATGGAGAGAAAATCCATTTTCACTTTATAACCAGTTGTGCACCCCACCCCACAGGAACCACTGACACCGGGGCCTCATATTTCAAAATTTTAGAAATTTTATCATAAATTTTATTTCATCATAAATGGCTGATAAATACCAAAGAGCAGATTTGAAAGCATTAATTTATTTTCAGACTATGTAACCCCCCCCCCCCCCATCGATACCCCTGACTTAGGGGGCATAAAATTAACCATTTTTCTAGATGCACCTTTCTTCATCATAGATATATATACATGTACTTACGGTATATTATTGGCATAACACCCAAGAGCAAAGGAAAAGTCTTTCAAAGAATTAGTGTATTTTAACTATTTAACCAAATGAGTCCCCCCCCCCACCCATTTACACCAAATGACAAAACCCCTGACACAGAGGCCATAAAATTCACAATTTGGTTGAGGCATTCTTGTTCAATATAACTATATACTTACTTAGTTTATCTAATATCCAGGAGCAGAGAAGATCATTGAAGAATTATTGTATTTCCATTAATAATCAATAAAGCCCTACCCTAACAACAGAATCCCTGACCCTGGAGCCATCAAATTCACAATTTTGGAAGAGGCAATTTTGCTCATCATAGCTTTGTACTTAGTTAGTTTATTTAACACCCAGAAGCAGAGAAGGAGATTTTCAAATAATTAATGTATTTTCTCTATACAGCAAAATTCGTTTAGTACAAACACAGATATTGCGAATTCAAGGAATTCACGGATAAGTTATCTTGGATCCCCAGCTATATAAATTTAACAAATTCCTTAATCAAATATATAATAGGTAGAGCTAAGTAATTTTATAGGTCCCAGTAACTTCGCTATAACCAAATTTTACTATATAATCAATAGAGCCCTGCCCTCACACCAATACTCCCAACCATGGGGCCATCAAATTCACAATTTTGGAAGAGGCACTCTTGCCCATCATAACTATGTACTTAGTTAGTTTATTTAATACCCAGGAGCATAGAGGAAAATTTTCAAAGAATTAATAACAGGGTATTATTTCAACTCGGAATAATTATTTCATTCGGAATTTAAAGAATTAAAAAAGATAAGCTACTAAGTCTCCTTACATGCATTTGTAGCTCAGTAGAAAAAAATGTTGCCTTAGATCTCTGCATATTTTGTGAGTGTTTGGGTAAAGATTTTGTTTAATAACTCATTAAATAAGTTATTCTATTTTCTGTTAATTATTTCTTCTTATCTATTTGTTTGTTATTTGTTTGTTTATTTATTGTTGTGTTTGTTTGTTTGTTTCTTTATTGGTGTAAACAAGGTTGCATGTACTGGCAGGGGTAAGATGAATTTTTTACTGGGTTAGTTGGCGCATGCCCAAAGGGGTTAGTCGCCGCCGTGTGTCGACTAACCCCTTTGGGCATGCGCCATTTGCGTTAGTTAAAACTCCTGTAGTAAATCCATATCCAATATGTGTATTCGGTCTGCATTGTTAATCAGTCCACGCAATGTACGTAATAAACGGTAATTAACACCGTAGAAGTGTTATTTACTGTCACGATGCGCTTAAATCCTAAGTATTTCATTCCAAGTATCCATGAATGAAGGCTAGACCCGGGTCCCTACACCATGTGCACATGCCGATCTCCCGAAGAAAATAAATCACGGAGCAAGAGAACGAAAGTACATACCAATGCATATTCATCACGATAACTGAAGACATATAGTCGTAATAACGATTAAATCCAACAAATAGCCAGTGAAACGCTGCGATGTCAACACTGCCAATGCACTGCAAACAACTCCTGTTCGACGTCATATTTCGAAGTACGACGTCACAGGTACCCTGTTTTCCCGAACTTTCTCTCTGCATCAAAATGGCGTATAGGCATTGTACGTAATATAAGGTATTCTGTCACTAAGGTACATAATTTAAACATTATTTTTTTACTGAACGTTTTCCTTTACTTGGACAACCAAATATCACAAGAGGAAATGAAAGTGAAGTGTTTAGTACAAAAAACAGGCTTTAAAAATTGCAAGATCCAGGATCCGCGCACTTGTTTCACCTCCGCTAAGAGGTGCAGTTTTAGTGTGCACATCTATTGTGACGTATGCCTATCACTCGGGGACAGAATATTAAAAATGAAATGCAGTATATGTCTATAGATGTACAAGAACATAATAAAAGCTAATAATTAAGGTGTTGAAAGTATTTCTTGTATCTTTATTTTGATTTAGATCCAATTTATTCATCATTCATAATTATAATGTTTTGATAAAAGGAGGGGATGAGACAATATTCTTTTTTTTTCTCATAAATACTGCGTGGCATTTAACCCCTACCTCCGTATTGACAGAAATATTTTTTTTTTTTATCAATTTTGTATTATTTAATTTTTAATTTTTGCCGACTTTGAAATAAATCATGTGGTGTGTGTGTGTGTGTGGGGGGGGGGGGGGGGGGGGGGGGGGGGGGGCATATCAACGCTTACGAAAAGAAAAAATACACGTTTACTACAACCAGATAACTGCAGTACTGTAGGTCTCCGAATCACAAATTCCCCAAAAGATTCCGTGTCTGTGGTCATTTAAACAACAAAATGTTTTCCAAGCTGTTCGGGGGCGAATGCTGCAGATGATGCAGAAAAAATAGCGGTTATGTAAATTTTGTAAATAACAACCAATTTGAAAGGAAGACATTTTATTGTTTATATTTATATCTGTTAAAATAATAATTTAAATTAGGATTGTTATGATTAATTATATATTAACGATGCGAACGTCTTTGTATGTTTCATTGATGGAACAGCCACTGATCAAGAAATCTGTACAGGTTACATGCCTAGTGTAGTTCATGCTCTGATTAACATAATGGGTTTTCTTTAGAAGTATAGGAGGAACTATTCAGTGGATGTAAATATATTCTAATGATACTTTTTATTCCAAAAAATAAATACCCCCCAAAAAAGAAGTTCATCTTTTATAATTGGACAGTCCTCCTTCCTGAAAAGAAAGTGTGACGTGTAATGCTTTGAATTATTAAGATAATTTAGGCCATTTTATTTTTTTCTTTGAAGACAAGCAAGTAGTATCCGAGGGGGGGGGGCAGGGGGGGGGCCTGCCCCCCCCCCCCACTTTTTTCCCCCAACAATACCTTTACTATAGAAAATGTCTATTGAAAAGGTGGTTGGCCCCCTACTTGTTACCGCAGTATATACATAGCAAGGAAATATAGGAAAAAGTTGGCCACTACACCCCCCCCCCCCCCACGAAATAGTATTTTCGTGTCTGGGTAATTTTCCTTCTTATTTTTTTTTTTTTTTTTTTTGCTTGTCAACTTTTTTTTAGGTAAGTAAAAAAATTTTTCTCAGGTTGGCCCCCCACTTTCAAAAACGATGCTACGTGCCTGGAGGAAGAATATCAATTTATACCGGCCGGAACGCAAAAGAAACGGAACAAAAAGTAAACTACAGATATTTGAACCTTTAACTATGATAATGCATTTCTTAAACTGATGAAAACAATAAGGTTAAACTTGATTTAAAAACATAAGAGATTTAATAACAATGTTAAAATAATGATAATCTTTCAATTTTAGAAAGTAGCACATTACTGTACCCCCCCCCCCTTCTCAGCCATTCAATTATATAGCTTGCATGTGCAAGACTGCATGCCATACACAGCAATTTCAGCTTGATTTCCACGATTTGACTGCAATATGATCATCAATCTCGAAATCTGAGCGAAAGAAATATTCCTTCGCCTTTTTATTAGGTTTTCCAGCTAGAGCAATGGAACTTGTGTCGTTTTCAGGAAGCCTTGGCACGACTTCCGGAAACGAAATAGGAGAATTTACTATTGTGTTGCAGAATACTATTGTTGCATTTCTTTTTATAAACATAAACAAATCCTTTTTACCCAATATTTTTGTCATATTTTAATTTTTGGGCATGTGAATTTACGTATGTATAACTTATAGTAGTGGAGGGTGCTCAACTACTTATATTCCATTATTGTAATCAAGGGAAAACGTCTCTTATTTATAAAAGACTGTCACCTTGCGGGGGGCCTAGCTCCCGTACCATCACCGGGACCGTTACAAGTTTAAGTGCTTACTAGTTGAATATATCCATAAAAGAAATGCAAAGACCGTCCCCGAACAAATATTAGCATTTAAAAAAGTACTGTAGTTGATCTTAGTCACATGATGATGCCTAGGATGAGAATTTATACATCGAGTGAGCGACAAAAAAATCGGCGGCGTCAATCGACGGTTTTTACAATGCATGGATCTGTAACTCTCTGCTCTATCTCTCGATCCGAAATCTTCTCAAGCAGAGAGCTACAGATCTGCAACTACACTGCATAATATGAAACATGTTGTTAACAGTTATTGTGGTTGCATTTGCAATTATAGCATATTCAAAACTGTATTTTTTTAGTAGTTAAACAACTTTTCAATTTACATCTCGTAATATGATTCATTAATTTTATTAA